GTATAGCCAAATCGAACGACTATTTCTTGATTTTTATTATATTGTGAACTAAATGTTATTGTATTAGGTAGATGAGAACCATGCAATGAATGTCTTGGTATTTTGAATGCAAGCTTTATCTTTACTACATGCCCGAACTCTAGTAGCTACTGCGCGAATTTTACTACATGTATTAAGGTATATTGTCGATATTTTATAGGTGAAAAGAATTGGCTAGTTTACATTGCTCATTATATTATGAAATATGATACTAGTTAAAATTCGCGTCGAGCTAAATGTTATTGTATTAGGCAAATGAGAACCATACAATAATTTTCTTAGTTCTTGTAGGTATTTTGAAGGCACGCTTTATCTTTAGTAGGCTATAGCTACCACAAAGCGTTTGGCGCACCAACTAGTAGCTACTGCGCGAATTTTAATACATGTATTGCATGTATGTAAAACTTTATTTCAACACGCTAACTTCGACAATTATTTACAACTGGTTTCCACGAAGGGCGTATACACACAAAGAGCTAAATGTTAATTATATATAGAACAAAATATGTAAGAATCCCACCCTAAAATTTTATCATCTTCCTCCCAAACCTCCACCCCCTAAAGAAGTACCCACCCACCCTCACGCAAAACTAACCCCCCTCCCGCCCACAATCTATATTGTCTCCCATCATTTGGTCCTGGAGAAATTAGCTTATCATCTGCTTAAATGCAATTTCGCCATTGTTTTAAATGACGTAATTGACTCAGCCGCCTTGACATCTTGCGGGAGACTATTCCATAGAATTGCTCCACTGTATCCAAATGTTTTCTTTAGAAATTCCGTTTTCGGTTTTTTTAACGAGAGATCAGTTTCGCTATTGCGTAAATCATAAATATTCTGCGATGCATTTCTCCGAGAAAAAAGATCTTTAAGGTTTGGCGCAGTGTGGTTCCCCAAGACTTTATACATCAATGCTAGCTTGTTTTGTTCTCGTCTCCTAGCCAGGGTTTCCCAGCCTAATTTGTTTAGGACTTCAGACGATCTTACATCGTAGTCAGCTCCGGTAATCACCCTTGCTGCTCGATTTTGGAATTTTTGCAATTTGTCTTGAAGTCCCAAACCACAGTTATCCCACAAGGGAGAACAGTAATCAAAATGAGGCTGAATTAATGTTTTGTAGACATCATGTAAGGTTTTGTGTGGAACATAAGGTTTTATTCTTTTAATTGCTCCTATTCCAGCGCTAATCGTATGGCATACAGAATCAATATGTTTCTCCCAACTTAATTTTTTATCCGGGGGTGGTGTACTAGCGTACATCGATAAATCGGTACCAGTATCTCGTCTGCCAAATCTTGAAGAAGCTGGAAAAAAGGTACTATGGCTGCTCCTTAAACCCCACCGTTCACCGAGACCCTTTAGTGCTATCATTGTGGCCACCGTTTATTATCCACTGGGGCAGTCTGTTGAGAAAGAACATGAAATGATAAGCTACCTCACAGATGGTCTGGACAAGGTCCTTCATTCTCGTCCTTCGACAGGAATAATTATCGCTGGGGATTTTAACACACTGAATTTAAGACGCCTATGTAACCGCTTTAACCTTAAAAAAATGGTTTCGACCCCCACAAGAGGTAATAACATCTTAGACCAGATTTTGACCAACATGGCTGACCTCTATTTACCTGCCAAACATCTACCCCCCTGGGTCGCTCTGACCACCAATGTTTGCTGTTATCCCCCCCAAATGTCAACAAACTCCCCCCTACTTCCAAAAAAGTTAGACTACATAAACCCGAAAACAAACAAACATTGAGTAGAACTGTTGTCCTCCAAAACTGGGACAATGTTTTAATGGCAACAGATGTGGATGATAAAGTCGAAGCATTTAACAGAACGATACTCTCTTTGCTAGACAAGGCTATGCCAGAAGTGACAATCCGAATGCATACATCAGATAAACCTTGGATTACCCAAAAAATAAAGGCACAGATTAAAGCTAGGAAAAAGGCTTACTGCCGCGGTGATAAATCCAAGTACGACCAATTATGTAAAAAGGTCTCCAAGTTAATTCGGAATGCAAAACAATCGTTTTATCACACCGAAGGGAGAGATCTTCGTCAAAAAGATCCTGCAAAATGGTATAAAACTGTCTATACTCTGTTGGGTGCTGAAACAAATCATAACTCTCTACAAACTCCATCTAATGAAGATCTGTCTAAGGTTGCTGAAAACCTACAAACTGCTTTTACAAACCCATGGAAAGATATCAATGTCGACCTCCCGGACATAAATGAAGTTAACCACTTACTTAAGGATACGCCACCACCGCTACCTTCCTTAGGGCAAGTACGGTCCTGCCTAAAGCACCTTAACCCAAAGAAAGCAACAGGGATAGATAAAATCCCTGCCTGGTTCTTAAAGCACTACTGTGATGACTGCACTCTTGATGAGGTCGTTGCAAACGGAGCCCTTTCAAATATGCAGGAATCAACTAATCAAGTGATGAATTGGGCCAATGATAATAAAATGATGGTGAACCCCAAAAAAACTAAGGACATGTGGATCAGTTTTTCCCAATCCTCTTCTGAACCCCCACCTATACAAACGGATGGAATTGAAATAGAAAGAGTAAACTCCTTCAAACTTCTCGGTGTATGGGTGCAAAATGATTTAAAGTGGAATACCCATGTTTGTAAAATAACAAAAAGAGCAAATAAGCTATTATTCCTTCTCAGAGAGTGCAGGAAATCCTTCCTACCACCCGAGATTGGTTTATTAACATATACGTCGAAGATCCGGCCAATACTTGAATACGCCTCTCCAGTTTGGGGCGGAATCCCTAAATATCTTGAAGCAGAAATTGAACGTGTTCAACAAAGAAGCTTGAGAATCCTAGGATTTGAGAAAGATACCCTTCCTACACTAAAAGAAAGAAGGGACAAGGCAACATGCAACGGGCTGAAAAGGATCGTGGAAGTCCAAAAAAACCCATGTAATCGTTTCCTATCTGGTAATAAGAATCACACTTACGAACTGAGAAGGACCAGAGACAGCACTCCAAGACAGCTCTCAAAAACACACAGGCATAGTACGTCTTTTATCCCAAGGGCGTGTAGATTAACCAACTCATGAAATTAGATCATTGTACATATGTATATAAAAACTTCTTAAACTTTCTAATTTTTACACTCTCATAGGTTATACATGTATTTTAGTATAATATTTTTAACTTGTAAATCCATTGTATTTCTATATGCCAAAGATGGATATTTAATAATAAAATTGAAATAGTTTAGATTTACACCTAGACATTTAAATGTATTGGTTTGTGGGACTGGGATTTTGTTAATCTCAACGGGTCTATTTCCTATTTTATGATTTAGATTATGCGTAGATCCAATAAACATGACTTTTGTTTTTTTCCTATGATATTTTAGTTTGTTTTTAGCAAGCCATTTATGAATACTGGAAAGGTCCATATTCAAATTGTCAATCAATGTATCGTAATCATGCGAAGAGGAAGATATCTGAGTGTCGTCGGCATAAAGACATGGGGTTGTCCTTTCTAAAATGTCAGGCATATCATTAATATATAACAAAAACAATAATGGACCAAGTATGGATCCTTGCGGAATTCCGCATATTATTGTTCTTGCAGAAGAAGTTTGATCATTAACAGAACACACTTGCTTTCTATTCCTTAAGTATGATTGGAACCATTTTAATTCAATGTCGTGAATTCCAAACTGGGTTTTAAGCTTCTCCAATAATATCTCGTGATTCACCGAGTCAAATGCTTTACATATATCAAGAAAAACAACTCCATTTATTTTGCCTTCATCCATGTCTTGTAGCCATTGATCACACATTTGTATAAGAGCACCTAAGGTTCCATGTTTTGGTCTAAACCCGGATTGAAATTTAGACAGAAGCGCATGTTTATTCAAAAAGCTATATATTTGAGTAAAAACTTCCCCTTCAAATATTTTACTTATTATGGGAAGAATTGAAATTGGTCTATAATTTTCGCATTTACGCTTATCCTCAGATTTGTAAATTGGTATAACTCTAGCCAATTTCCACTCATCTATATAAATACCAGTTCTAATCGATAGGTTAAATATAAAAGTTATAGATGGAGCAATAAGGGTTGATGTCAGTTTTAAAATATTCGCAGGTATTCCATCCATACCTGTCGCTTTTGAGACATTTAGTTTTTGTAGGCGTTTGGAAACACTATCTATAGTAATATCTGCGAAGTAAAAATTTTCTTTAGGAAGAAGCACAGTACTTTCATAAATTACTTGATCATTTAAAGCATCAGTGCTTTGACATGCTGATTCAGCAGCCATCTTCATTCCAATATTTATAAAATATTCATTTAATGTTTCAGTAATAGATTTATCATCAGAAATAATATCATCATTTACTTTCAGTTCATTAATATTTGCATTCTTATGCTTTCTTCCTATTGTATTCTTCCTATTGTATGTATTAAGGTATATTGTCGACATTGTGCAGTGAAACTGTCAAACCTTTAACTTTTCCTTGTTTATATTTTGTTTATATTATATTGTGAACTAAATGTTATTCTATTAGGCAAATGAGAACCATACAATAAATGTCTTAGTTCTTTTTGGTATTTTGATCGAACGCTCGCTTTATCTTTACTTGCGCGAATTCTAGTAGCTATTGCGCGAATTTCAATACATGTATTTTAATATGGTCAAACCTTTATTAACTTGCCCTTGTTTATATTGTATTGTGAACTAAATGTTATTGTATTAGGCAAATGAGAACCATACAATAAATCAAAATAAACTGTCGAACCTTTAACTTGTCCCAGCTTACATCCCACTATATTGTACAAATTCGCGTCGGGTCCAAATTTTGGGGTTTTCGAGTCGTTGAATACAACATATTGATTGTATAAATCCGCCGGGTCGGCCAAATTTTGGAAGCCAAATTTTAGAGTCGTTTAATACAAGAAGAAAAACATTAATTCAACACGCAAGAAAGTCCAGAGTGCGACAAAAAATGAACACAACTACATCACGGATGTTTATGACTCTACAACGTATATTTATAGACAGTTGTTTATTAGTTAAAAAGTCAAACTGTCAAACCTTTAACTTGTCCTTTGTAAAATTCGCTGGGTGCAAATTTTGGGGTTTTCGAGTCGTTACACGAAGAAAAACATATTAATTCAACACGCAAGAAAGTTCAGAGTGCGACACAACGTAAACTCCATAGGAAACCGGCACAACTCTTTGAATATTCAACGAAACTGTGTGAAATATATTCTGATCACTCAGCCAAAAGGCGCCATTTTGAAACTGGACTGAATATGTCACCATTGGAGTTCGGAATTGTGCGCGTGCGTATAAGTCCATATAAGTCTATATATGGGCTAATAAACGAAAAATGCACCACAAGCATGGCATGAGCCGGCTATTACGTACATAAATACAAGCTTCTTACTATTATATATGAATCGTGGAGTCGAAGAATCGATGGCATTTTGGATTAATCGTTGCACCCTGAGCCTGCGATGCGCGAAAGCAAACTTGATTTCTCGACGACGAAAAAAAACAGAAGAAAACAGAAAACTAGGGATTTAAGACACTTGACCTTTCAGGTCAGTGTAATAAGGCACTACGCCTACACTTAACTAACTATTCTAATTCATTAACCCGTTGAAGGAAGCTAGAACACGTCAAAATCAATGCGTAGGCATTGTTAGTACAGATTTGACCTTGACTGCAAGGCCAAATCTGGTCTTGACTACATTTCAATTCATGCACAAAACTAGAAGCTGTGCTTTTATTCATTTAGTTATTTCATAAGAGACTTCAAAGGGATTAAAATTTCCGTGGAAAGCAACTTTACATTTCTTTTCCGGCAGCCGGAAATGATTGGACTCAGACCACAGGTCGTTCAACATTATTGTATATCACCATATTATATCACCATAAATATTAAATTATAGTTAAAACATGTTCACTTATCTCTACATAAAGATGTATTTGCCATTTTGCTGTGGGATCGATCAGATTTCAGATTTAAAATAGTTTTATTAACCGCCATGTTGTTCTGTCTATTCATTTATGGCCATATTCAAATCCAACACTTCCGTACAAATATTCGACAACAAAATGCAGTTAATCGTCGTTAGTGTTTCATTTACGAGTTCCCTGTGTTCATATGTTCATCCTTGTGAAATTTGCAGTCATTCGGGATATTATTCACCACGTAGTGCCGAGTTAAAATCTCTTTCACTTAATAAGAAAAGGTAGGAGCCTGCCGCTCGCAAACGACACACATGCCCGACAGTCCTGTATTTGACCCCAGGGATAGTTTCCACGAGACTGTTTCATTATTTGTTGTGTCTGCTCTAGTTTCAAAATGCGAATGCCAAACTATAGCCGCTACTAACGTGAAAAGTGTCAGCGTGTATTGAGGTCAACCAACAACGAGTATAGCAACTAAAATATACAAAAGAAAGTTTAAACTCACCGTTCAGAACGCGGGGATTGATCTATTCCATTTCTACATAGAAAACATTAGCTTTACACAGCGTGTAGACTATTATTATTGCCTTGGACATAAAATAATTTCAAGGTTCTCTTTATTTCTCGGTTTTCTGCTTATTTAGTGAATTCATATCAACGCACTTCCGTGTTGGCAAATATCTTGAAGGAAAACCGATTGTCTGAGAATTTATCCTTCCAAACAGGAATTTTATATCCACCATACATTTACATGTTAGAGTACCCAACATAGTCATAGGCATACGGGAGGGAAAAAATAGGGAGCCAGACATAAATATGCCCGAACGTTGATGCAAATTGCTCGACAAATACAACATTTTGGCGTCATAAACTTCTCATAATTTCAGTGTCGCTAATATCCACCGAGATACAATCTTTTAAATAACAAATACTTTAAATTATGACACTCACTCACATTTTTTCAATATTTTCCTTTTCCAACTTCAAAAATAACCGAACTTCAAACTACATTTTGTTGTTTAATAAAAGTAATAATAAAATTCTTGAATCAGGTTGCGTCTTGTTCAAATTCAATCAGTTTCTGAAAACTCATGCGGTTAACAATGCCATTACAACTTGTTGGTAGATTTCGTATAGATTTGTGAACACAGCCACAAGCTTGCTGGAACGGACTTGTTACAACTTGATATGCTTGGTAATTTCCCACAGTTAGGCCTACTTTGGGGGCCAAGGTCGCCTAATGTCGCCTAATTTCGCCCACTTTCGCCCATGTGCACCCAATTTTTTAACTTTGCCTGACAGTCTATTTGCTTAATGTCGCCTAATGTCGCATAATCTCACACAAGCATGCCCAATTTTGCACTTTGAGTTTGTCGTCCATACTAGTCTATTCCTTATTTATTTGTTAGTTTCTTGCATGTTTTTTTCATAAATACATGTACACAAACACCAAGGGCATGTGCTGTTAGGGCACCATCTCTCACCAGTATTAATGAGGCTTGGTTATTTGGCGTTTATATGTATATGAATTACAACACATTATTCCAATGAGAATTACCTAAATTATGTTGTTAAGGCAGCCTTCTGGCCATCTTCTCCAATGTGTTTCTTTGTGAAACTCAGTCAAATTAGACAATCACACGCCATTAAATGTTGTATATGAAATCAAACTTAGATCTTATTATCAAAGACACATTCATGATAACTGGCGAGTGCAAAAGTACAGAATACCTCTCACTAGCCTAGTGAAGGACACTAGGTATCCTAAAGGCCGAAACGGTACCGTCGGTAGTATATATATATGTATATATATATATATATAATCGGTCACGAGTACTAAATACTGCCCGGAGCGCCCAGGGACGCCCAGGAGTGCCCGGGGATGCCCTGAAGCGCACAGGAGCGTGTGAGAACGCCCGGGGATATATAAGATATAGTATAAATCAGTGCACGATCCTTTTTGAGTCTCTATGAGGCATTATATCAATGAACTTGGAATTCATCTCGGGTAAGTTGCTTTTTGGCCCTGGAATTTCTCAGAAGTAAACAAATTATCCTGGCTATGGAATTCTTCAGGTGTTGGCCGGTATTTTCAATGAGATTTCATCAGGGGTCAAAGGC